TTTTTTTTAAACTCTGAATAAAAAGTTCGAAATTTTTGGGGGATTTCGGTAAAATTGGTTGAATTTTTAAAATTTTTGTACAACGTTTGAAATGTGGGTTTATATGGTGTGCGTTATATAATGCGGTAGACTTTTATAAAAAATATTAAACATCAAATAAGAATATGAGGGTCCATAAAACAAACAAAAGTAATATAGCGAAAATTGGTCAAAATAAAAAGTTTCTATTATTTCTTCCACCACTGCATATGCATAAATAAATATTTATATAAATTATTTTTCACATTCTTGTTTTATTTAATTTCATTAAATTCTACCCAAAAAAGAATGCAATTAAATTAAATTAAAATAATTTGATGGAGTTATAATGATGTGAAAAGAAATAGGGACGCGACATTTCGACCACTTTTGACTAATTTCTTGATTTCTTTCTTTGTTTAATGTTTATTATTTCTTTTTAATCTGATCTTGAATTTAATGGGCTATAAAACCACATACTTCGATTTTTTCTAAAAAATTTGACTAAATACTTTGTTGTCAAATTTTGTTGCATTTTTCTAAAAAGTTTTAAATTTAGTTTTTGTTAGATAATGAGCTCAGTTTAAAAAGTAATAATAAACATTAAACAAAAAAAAAGAAACTAGTCAAAGGTGGTCAGAATATCGCGTCCCTATTACTTTTCACATCACTATAACTTCATCAAATTATTTTAATTTAATTTCATGCATTCTTTTTATTATATTTTAATTCAGTCTTATTTTATTTCGAATCAGTTCTTTTTATTGAATTTCTATTAAATCCTCTTCTATTTTTGTTTTATTCCATTTATCTTTTAAGTTTTTTAGTTATTTATTTACATGCTTGCCTTTTTTTCATTTACTTATTTTTTGTTTTTTAATGAATTTATTTATTTACTTGTTTCATTCTATTCTTATTACATTTGCTTTTATTTTATTTTGTTCTATTTGATTTTCTTTGATTATATTTTATCAAAGTTCTTCATTTATTTGTTTATTTTATTTTATGGAACTTAACTTAAGCTTATTATATAATATTTATTTATTTATTTTATATTATTATTTCATTTTATTTTATTTTAATTTATTAAATTTAATTTAAGCTCATTTGATCATGATTATTTATTTATTTTATTTTATTCGATTTGATTTTATTTCATTTTTATTTGTATTTATTTATTTAATTTAAATTTATTTAGTATTTAGTTATTCAACTTGTTTATTTTTATTTTATTTTATTTTTTATTTTATTTGTCTTTAGTTGTACATCTAATCTTAGAATTTCCAGTTTCATCTCTGCTTCCTTTAATTCAAGTTCATTCTTCTTTTTGGCCCATGTATGTCGCTCAGCAGCTCTTTGATTTTCTTCCATCCAGAAGATTTGGTGTGCATCAGAAGTTTCTTTTTTCTTTTCGCGCTTTGTCGCTAGTTTTTCGTTGGGTTTTGAACGTAGCAGAGTTGGGTTCCATGAACTCCAATCTGCTCTGGCATCCTAAAGAAATACTTATTTATAGAGGAAAATCTATAATTTTGAAATATACAGGCAGGTTCTGCAATTCACTTCCGAGTGAATCTCAACAAAATGCGCTTTGAATTCAAATTGGCAGGGATTTAAATTCACTCGGAAGTGAATTGCAGAACCTGCCTGATTATATAATTTACGTGTTCCTTAGCTTCTGATGCCGCGTCCAGATGTTCTACCGTACAGCTCTGCATAGATTCGTCCAAGTACTCAGGCTCTTGTTCATAAGTGACTATTGCTGAAATAATGTAAAATTCAAGTATCAGTAACTACTATTGCATGTAAATAAAAGCGAAATCTTACCATCGCTGTCTACGTAATTTTCCAAGCCGGTTGCAGATTGGCCCATGAGCGTAGCTAGCCTGCCTGTATTTTTGTCCGGTCGGTGTTGAAACTGGCCCCCACCAGTCTTATATAGCTCCCTCTTTTCATCGGCTAAATTCTTCCTGGTTCTCTTCTTCATATTCTCGTACTTCTCCCGCAAATTTTTAGGACCGCGCCTGATACCAGTTTGGGACTCAAACTTAAGGTCAATTTCTTCCCACGCTTTTCGCTTCTCTTCCCACGAAACTGCGTCGCTTCTTTTATTTTCTATTTTATTGGCGTACCGCTCGACCAATGTGATAAGAAGGGACTCATCGCCGCTTGTAAAATTTGGCAAACGATTTCTCTTTTTGTCATCCATTATCTTCTATATAAATCTTAAAAGTCCACACTTATCACAAAAACCAATTTATTTTTACAATGGCACGTCAAAAATGTAAACAAAACACAGCTGGTTTGCCCATTTATGAGCATTCACAATGGGTTTTTGTGAATTGTTCTACAAAATATTCACAATTATCGAATTAACTGGAGGTCGGCTAATCTGAGCTTGGTGAAAACGAGAATGTCAAATCAAGGTACCTGGAGATTAGCTATCCTCTAGTTAAATGCTAACTTAACTGGAGATGGTGCAAACGGCCCTAAGACGAATACAAAGATTTTAGATACCTATAATAGAATAATAGACGAAGAGGCAAAGGATAACAAAGAGTTATTCACACAAACACTTTATAATAAGTTAGGTATAGTAAATGACGAAATTGCGAAAATCGTCATGGCAGCGCAGTTAGCAAAACAAGGAATCATTCACTCTCAAATTTTAAATAAAGAAGATATCGCTAATGTACTATCTCAAACCAATACACTACCTTTCAAAAACGAGATTCAGGCCCTTAAATACGCAGAACCGTCAATGATCATCAAAGATTCACTTCTTTTATATGTAATTTCAATACCTAAAATGGAAGATACCCTATTTAACAACATCCTTATACGATCAACTGTAAAAAATAATAAAAGAGTCTACTTAGAATTCACCAACCTCTTCATATCCCAAAATGACAAATATGGTATTATTGGAAAATGTATTGCAATAGACGACACTACAATATGCAAAAGAAATCAACTTCAGAAATTAGATAAAACCCATTGCATTTCACAAATTCTTAGCGGAGAAAAAGCGTTATGCGACTACCAATATGAAAGCAAACCCATAGTTGAATTAATCGGAGAAGGAACAATATTTCTTTCTGATTTTATTGGTAATATTACTTACAATAATACATCACACAATTTAAATGGCACATTTCTTGTAAATTTTTATAACCAAACCATAACCTTGAACAACATTAGTTACTCAAACTGGCAAACGAGCTCCTACCAAGTCCTACCTGCAATCCTTCAAAGTAATTTAACAGAAAACGAAATTAAGCTAGACCTCAGCTATCTACACAAACTTCACTTAAATAACCTAAAAAAATTAGAAAGAATATCATCACACAATACTATCTCAATAAGCACAAGCTTGACAGCTATTTTTATAACAATAACTCTATCACTTGGTCTGTATACCCTACTTAAACCAAAAAAACAAAAACTCATTTATTATCCCACCAATAATAGATTACCCGC